AGGGGTTTCAGAATGATTTGAAGTAGGCGGTTGTACCAAGAAAGTAGCCGGCTGTGACTGATAGTTAAAAAAATCGCGCGGGGAGGGGAGCGTGCCCTCGCATGGAAATGTAAAAATTTTTCGCCGCAAATTAACAATCAAATAATATAGAATACGTAAAAAGACAAAGTACAACTATTAACATGTTAGATTTAGATGCATTTGCATTTAGGGGCGAACCATTAGATTTTTGAGGGGGAGGGGGGGGGGAGGGGTTGGAAGATTCAGTCTGTGCAAGAATTTTTTTCCGCCCAGTGGAATAAGACAGATATTTTTTTCCTGTAAAAATGCAGCGCAAGATTTTCCCCCCAATATATTTCGCGGCAGGATATTTTTTTTGCCCCTCATAATAACTGCTTACAGTAACTTAAGGCTTTCATATAGCTATCGTCAGAGACGTTAGCCAGGGTTTTCAGTCAGAGGAGGCCGAGCCTGAATCCCAAGAGGGGCTAAGGAATTTTCGCTGTGCTTTATTTTATATGGTTATGTCTTAATGTTCCCCACACTAAAGCGTGCAGGTTTACCTACAAAATATGTATAACTGCACCAAAACCTAAAACATGCAGGGATAGAGTAGAGTAATCGAAAATTGGGGAGGTACAGTATATGAATGACCTGTAACCTTGGGGGTTTCGGGGGCATGCTCCCACGAGAAAATTTTAAAATTTGAACCTCGGAAATGCTATTTCCTGCGTTTTCAGCCATGGATTTGTCCAACAACTTTGCTGTACTAAGCCTAAGGAACACTTACTGTCCTTTATTTTAAACAAGGGAAAATCACAACATGAGCTTTGATTAATATGTAATAAAACAAGATTTCAGTAATGCGATTTTTAACTGCCCTCCGAAACAACAATGTTCCACCAAATATAGCTCTGTAGCTTTTCAATCGTTCATACAAATAGCTTGCTGGGGATCGGGTTGCATCCTCTTCAGAAATTTTTTAAAATCTAGACTCTCTAAACTGGCATTTTCGCATTAAAATCATCGTATATACAGTACGTTCAACTTGCATCCTGTAGATGGGCCTTTGAAGCTTTAATAGTTTGGAACTATGTTATCAAAAAATGCACACAGACTCGACCATCCAAAAATACTTTTTCTACCATGCATATTAGATATGTATAAATAACTTATAAACTTGTACATATATTAAGCCCAGATTTTCTCAGGGGGGGGGGCAACAATTTTGCCAGGGAACGCCACTGGCTATCGTATGTTATAGACTCCAAAGGCGCCAGAATCCCTGTGATGTTGTCCACTGTTCACCCAGTGTTCTTTTAAGCAAATGTGCCTGCCCAAAAATGCAAAATCTTGCAAGCCTGTGGACACAATACTGAAGTGGAGAATGCCAGTAGATTTACATGTAGGATTTTTTTTTGAGCGCTTTCTTTTGCATATTTTTTTCCTCGATTGTATGCTGCATGTTTTTTTTCTTTCTCCTTGGATTGCAGGATTTTTTTCGAAATCTTCCAACCCCCCCCTTCAAAAATCAGATGGTCCGCCCTTATACTTGTAAGTGACAATGTACTTTAATATGCTACTTGTAGTTTAATTTTTACAGCTGCATGAACAGAATGACAATGTACACCACAGTAGTAGTAATTATTTTATGAGTCCGAAATCATTAATCAAATGATGTTATACTTATGTACGTAATGAACTTCACTTCACTTCTTCTTTCTTTTGCAAGGTTTGGTACTATATGTATTATAATTTATCTTATTGAGCTTCCAAAATAAGTGATGTTTTGCTTGAATTCAGGGCTTGAATTTTATCGCGGCAATTGCTTTAGAGGGAAAACAAAATGCTGTGGATCGTTGCGGCAATGACGCCAATTTTTTGCCGTATAGTATAATTTTTAAACTCATGTTCACCGTGCATTACTATTTTGATACTTGAATTCAGATGTTGATCAAATATTTCATCCGTAAATTACTATTTTAGTCTCAGTTTTCTTCGAAAAAAAAAACACTAAAGAAATACGTAAACATGTTTCTAGCTTGTCAGCAATCCAAAGTCTGTAACAATAAAATTATTTTTTTATTACAGCAATTTGAAAAAAAAAAATGCCGTGGAAACTGACAAAATTGCCGTAGACATGCAGCTGTTACGTTCTACGGCAATTTTTAACGCCATTGCCGTCAATTGATTTATGGAAATTCAAGGCCAACTTGAATCCCAATTGGAACATAACAAACATCATGTTGGTTCGCTTGTACTTTTGTATATAAAATTTTTCCTGTGACCAGACGAAAAGTAGCCGGCGGTAAAAGTTCAAGTAGCCGGCGGAACTCCGCCGGCCGCCGGCTTATTCTGAAACCCCTGGTAAATGTCCATTTTTTTTCTTCAGGATTTTCTCTTGGGTCCGTTTTTGCAGAGAAGTTTAGCTGAACACAGCTGGGGGTCCGGGGCAGCGGCAGGAGGCTGACACCTGCACGCCCGCCGAGAGGGGGTGGGCGGGGCAAATTTCCCCGGAGCACCGGCTCTGGGGGCCTCTAGTCATTTTTTTTTTTGGGGGGGGAGTCATTTTTTCCGATATATTTCCTGTTTTTCGGGCGAAATATTTCTGTTTTTCGGGCAAAGTACCGAAATTCGGTATGGAAAAAGTTTGGGAAAGTGCCACGAAACCAATTAAAATGTTCTTGTCCGGAAATTTTTTTTCCCAAAAAAGTTGCCGAGATTACGGGGCCCCAAAAAATTTGTCCCCGGGTCCCCCGAAAAGCTCTCGGCGGCCCTGGACACCTGTACCGAATAAGGGTACTTGAGACGCAATGTATTAAAGCAGACACTATAAACTGGTTAAAGATAGCGAACGCGTTGTTTTTCTTGTGTTGTGAAATGAATTCCAGCGGCATTTTTTCTTGATTGCTGGGTTTCCAACTGAAAACTAATTTGCCCACGTCACGAATTTGACTCAAACAACTTCATTTTTACTGCACTGAAACTTCTGGTGAGAAGAATGAGTTTCAAAACTCAATTCAAGATTGAGTTTTTGGGGCCGTTTTACGGTCCTGAAAAAAACCCTGTATTAGTATCAGTGTTTTGAGCTAATTGTGGAAACACTCAAAATTACCATCTGCAAAACTTTTCATCTTTTAGCTAAGACCCTTTATTACAGACATGAGATAAGTGAGAATATACGTCCGTTTATTCTTACCAGTAGTTTGCTAAATATCGGTTCCACAGACAGACGCAGAGTTTCGTCAGAAATCTTGTGCGCACATAGTTCAGCTAATATTTTATAAACATCCAGCTTGAGTTCACTGTTCTCGTCGCCACTGCAACTGTCCTCTACGACAGGAAGAATCTTCTCCAGCATATAAAGGAAAAAATTCTCGGCACTGGCACCTTTCTAAAATAAAAAAGATGCACATCGCATTTACACACCAGGGTCCCCACCTTTTAGTGAAGAGTGAAGATGAAATTCAGGGACTTTTCCAGGACTTTCAAGGACCTTTTTCAGTATATTCAAGGACCTGGCAACTAGAAAAATCTTTGAAAATCAGCTTCGCAACACAACTTTTGGACAATTGTTATACATAATTATATTTCGCAAACTCCGGTCGAAATATATGGGAAAACAAATGGTAAGGCTTGCCTTTCCTGTGCATTAGCTCACAATTTAACGCTTCCGGTACAGTAACGGAAGTGAACAGAAGAAAAAAGCCCAGATCACGTGATCCTCCTTACGTATAAATACGCCGGCCACGTGTGCTCCGTCGGCTATTTTCAACGTGTAAAGCCTCCTAGTGAATACCAGGGAGGGATTTTGTACCCAGTGAGGTACGAAAGAGTGGGAACCCATATATTTCTCCCTTCGTTTGCTCATATAACCTTAATTATACATGCAGGCCTCATAGGCCCTTGTGTAATTGGAATTTTCATTGAAATTGGAGAAAATTAACATTTGGGCAATAATCCTTGGGCTGGTGATAATTCTTCAATTATTTCCAGCCTACTGAAAAAAAATTCCAGGACTTTCAAGGACCTTATCATTTTCCAAGGACTTTCCAGGCCTGGATTTTTTTTAACAAATTCAAGGACTTTCCAGGATTTTCAAGGACCGTGGGGACCCTGACACACGGAGTCCAGTCATAGTAGATATAATATAGAATAGATGGTTTGGAAACTCATTACAATAACAATATAACTCACAACGTTTATTCATAAATCTGGTCGTTCACCATCACGTGCGTATTGTATTTTTGCCCAACTAACCAATAGCAATGTTTTAGGAAAGTTATACTTATCCATGACTCGAACAATAGGGTAAACTGGAAATTGCTATTGGTGGATTTGGCAAAAATACAATACACACATGACGGTGAAGGAACATATTTATGAATAAACGTTGACTAACAGAGATGAGTTATATTGTTATTCTAATGTGTTTCCAAACCATCTATTCTATTAATAAACTATGATCCAGTTCACATATCATGTTCTTCTCAGGAGTTATGAAGATTTAACATTAACTACATACATACAAAGACGAGACTATATTTCTGGATTACAACAAATATATATAATTATAAGATAAAAACTTTTAGACTAATCTATATAAGTGTTTTAAATTGATCAATTGATTTAGCATTAGCTGCATGCACAGGTAATCTATTCCACAGGACAGCACTCGGAGCATCAAACTGAAAGCATCAGTCAAGGTCTCCGAACGAACAATTCAGAGTCTGAACTACATAGACTATAACTCTGGATTGATGAAACACTCGTGAATTTATTAGAAAGATATTCCGGCACCATTTTGTGAATTTGTGCACCGTTTTAAACATACAGTAAGTGTTTTAAAATGCTGTTCTCTTCTGTCTTCTAAATTTAACCAGTTTAGGTCAGACAGTACTTCATGCATGTGATCGGGTGTTATAATCTGAACCATTTATAAAAGGTGCGGCTCTATTTTGAAATTGTTGTAGTTTTTGTGCAAGACTTTTCCCCAAGTTACCCTAAACACTGCTGCAATAGTCGAAGTGTGGCTGAATTAATGACCTGTAAATTACGATGAGGACATGAGGTGGGACGAATCTCCTCAGAATATCATTTGTTTTGAGGAGAACATCATTAATTTGTTCAAGCGATTGCTTGAAACCACCTATTCAAGAACAACAGTCTGCAATCTTTGACACTATATACACTGGAAAATATACTTGCACTCAGATATATTATATCATTTCTTGATACATTTATTCCACCCTCCCTCCCCCCATTAATCGTAAATATTAAACATCATGGTTTTTACCAATTTACCATATGGGAAACCTATAATAACCAACACAATGGTAAGACTTCAGTCTTTACATTGATAGTATACATGCATGGTAAATCTTTAAAAACCATTCAAAAACCCATTAATGGAATTTTTTCCTGTGTATAGGCTGCAATGTATACAGTACAGTTACCTGGAAAAACGGAATTGCACTACGTGAACATGTGATGAACTTTTCCAGGGCTTCTGTGTCATTAGGCTGCAAAGAAATATAGCAAATTAATAGCATATAAGCATATCGCCTATTTTGGTTATCAACAAATAGGCAATTCCACCTATAGACTAAATTTTGATCTAGGCACGAAAAACAAAATCCATCACCACAGCTAGAACGAGCAAGTTAAAATTAGTAAAATTGCAAAATTTGGCCACGAAATGTTGTAAAATGAAGAAAATATAACCCTACAAAAATTGCAAATTTTGTATTAATTTGTATTACGCACGGGAAAATGCACCACATTTGGGCCGAAACTGAAGCAAATAGACCTTATGCACAATGATGTCACAAGCCTTGATGGCCGCAAGGAATGCTGGTCTTAGTAGTCATCGCCCAGGAAAATTTTGATAGTGGACATTTTGAATTGTTTAATTTTCCCGGGCAAAGACTGCTAAGACAAGCATTCCTCGCGGGCATCAAGCCTTGTGACGTCATTATGCATAAGGTCTTTTGTCTGAAATTCCGTGCAGCAATTAAACACCCAACACATTTTTCACCCATTAACTCAAAATACGATTAAAGCTTTTCAATCTCGTGCGCAAGCCATTTTTAGTTTGTTTCAAAAGACACCCCCTCTGGTTTACAAAATTTGAGTTCAAGAATTTTCTTCATTATTCTGTATTATAACTACCCAAAGAAGCTATATATACAGGGTGCCTAAAAAAAAACGCTATGGAAATTCAACAGGCTGTCGTGCATCATAAACGTGGCTAAACAATTTAATTTTTACATAGAACGAAAGAACAATTATTTAGCTTTTCAATGATACTCTTTTTAAATCGTAACGATGAGAAATGGCCACATATACTCGTCAAATAAAAATTGCCGGTCGAAATCACATTCTTCCACCGTTGGGAATTTGCATGGAAAATGAACCATAGACAATTCCCAAGAGGATATTAAAATTGAATGTTGAATTATCTAAAATGAGCTCAACTTGTTGATGTTCGTCTTTGTGAGACAATAACTCAATGAGAACGTCCATAAAACATAGTTCAATCAACCCCTGAACAGAGAAGATTCGTAATCAAAACGTTTTACGAAACAAATAGCTTGCAGATTGCTTGCAGCAAGCTCGCGTTGCTTCTGGATTGACTAACTTTGCATAATTAATGTGTTTTCAATTCCTAACGTTGGAAGAATGTGATTTCGACCGGCAATATTTATTTGACGTGTATCTGGCCATTTCTCATCGTTATGATTTAAAAAAGGTATCATAGAGAAGTTAAATAACAGCTCTTTCGTCCTATGTAAAAATTGAATTGTTTAGCTAGGTTTATGATGCACGACAGCCCGATGTATTTCCGTAGCGTTTTTTTTTTAGACACCCTGTATATCAAAAACTGGATACTGATAGCTGTTTTGCGAAATTGAGAGCAATTTCAAATCAGTTCAGTTTCTTTTTATATATACACCCTGTATATACATCTAATAAATGTATATAAATTTCCACTCGATAATTTCCATCTTTACAAGATTTCAACTATTATTCAATCGAGCGAAGATGCCAACAAAATCTTGTTATTTCAGGTTTTGCTTTAGGGAAGGATCCTAAAGATATCTATAGACTCACCTGAAGTTCATTTTCTAGTTCTGCTTGTTCCGCAATCAAGTCAACCAGTTGATCATGTTCAGATTCCATCGTCTTCAACTTCGACAAAAGACTGATAAAAACTTTGAATTCATAACCAGTCACGTCTGGCAATGCCTACAACATGCGTTGACCAGATAATGATTACAGATACAGATATTTCACAGCACACTCCCTATCAGGGCTTTTCAGTGACTGGTTACATTGTGAATAGATAGATAGAACCGGACTGACGTGAAGCAGACCGAGGTAGACTTTGAGCTTACAAATGGCGCTTGAGCAACCGCTATTAGTCCATACCTCATTAAAGTGCATATGACATGAAATTTCTTCTTTTCTTGAATGAAAGAACTCTTTAAGCTGTAGTGTAACTTATTTTTCAGTTTCTTGTTTTTATGGTTTGTTCCTGAAATATTTCAATACGTAAATGAGTGTGAATATGTCCGCTAATTTATGACATCACTTTGGTTGCAAGCTCAACTTACACTGATTATAAATCTATTAACTCTAAATACTGTAGATATCAGCTTACGTTTTTGTCCAGTACTTCATCACATTTACCAGTGAGTCAAGTTTGAAATTATCATCTTGGATGATAGCATTGATATTCAACCAAATTAAAGAGCTTGCAACCAAAGTGACGTCATAAATTTGCGGACATATTCATACTTATTTACATATCAATCAAAACTGAAATATCTTGGGAACAAAACATAAAGAGCTTAAAGAGTTCTTTTATTTAATAAAATAAAAAAAATTCATGTCATATGCACTTTAATGATTTGCCTCTTGACCTATGTGCTTAACCCACCCTGTCAACTTTCCCTGTGGGAGGAAACACGGAGTACCCGGAGAAAACCCACGACTTTCGGCAGAGCGTTGACTTTTACTCTTTTCACATGAGGACTGGGTTCGAGTCACATTGAGAAGTTCTCACTGAGGCTTGAACCAGCAATCTTAGAGGTGAAAGGCAAGTGCGCTAACCACTTCACCACCGAAGCCCCCTTAACATCTAGCAAATGCTTACGCGCAGAGTAAGACGGTTAAACGACAAACGAGGTTTTTTTAAAATCAGTTTCCACAGGGCTCTCAGAGTTATTCTGTGTAGGCGGCTGTTGGGAGAGGGCGGTCTAGGGGGTCTTAAAGTCATCCAAATGAACTAGTGTATATTGATTCTGATAGCAACACAACTGAGCTCTGTAACGAAATTATAATGTATCACTACTTTCTTTTTCAACAGGATAACTTCAAGATTTACGTTGGTTCGGCTTTGTGTTGTATTTTAACAGTGTTTGACGATTTGAAGAGGTTCAATGGACCATTTGCATTAGACTAAATTTTGATCTAGACAAAAATTTCATCACAGCTTGAAAGAGCATCACAAAATTAGTAGTATTTCAAAGTTTCGTTGCTAAATGTTGTAAAATGCGGACAATATAGCCATGGGAAGTTTGCCGTTTTTCAGTCATTTTGTATTACGCACGGGAAATTGACAGCCCAATCGGGTGTTGGGGAATCAATTTCCCGTTTGTAATACAAAATGACTGAAAATTGCAAATTTCGCAAGGCTATATTATCCGCATTTTACAACATTTCGCAACGAAACTTTGGAATATTACTAATTTTGTGATGCTCTTTCAAGCTGTGATGAAATTTTTGTCTAGATCAAAATTTAGTTTATAATGCAAATGGTCCATTCTAGCTTCGATTCCTGCTAGAGGATCATTTTTCGCAACTGTTCCTGGTTATGGCAATTATGAATGCCTGGACAATGTACAATGACATTTTGCACAATGAGCATGTATCGATTAACATATTTAACTATTGGAGGGGGAGCGGGGGGGGGGAGGGAGTGGCACCCTTCTTAACTTAGGCAAAGACCAAGGGGGGTGCAATGGGATTATGAGGTAGCACAAGGTATGTTCCACGCATGAAATCCAGCGAAGCACGACTAAAAATCTTCAATCACCGCATCCTGCATTTCTTTCACTAACAATCGCCATGGCCAAGGACGCTGCCTAGAAGCGTGGCATATAAATATGAGTAATCATGCTTTGAATAGGGATGACGGTGCTTATTTGCCACAAAAATATATCCATCTTGTTGGCAAATGACGTCGACATCCCATGGGTACATAAAAAGCGACTTCAGATCACACCTGATGAAGACACGGGACTGGAGTGTCGAAACGTTGGGTCGTGGATGCAATTCGACTGGGCTTCGCATCAATTTAAAAATTTATTAACACCACAGTAACGCGTGAAAACATGACCGATTTTATTGGTATTTCGAAATTATTGGGGGCTGGCCTTCTCCCCCATAGTGTCTGCCACTGGCCCTCCAACAAGACATATATATCTTGTGGATTTTTATTTTTGTGGAGGTAGCCAATCTTTCAATGTAGCTAGGCATTGGGGTTTAGGGAGTACCAACCGACCCAGAAATAGTAGCTAGGGGACGAGAATGGAACCTGAAATCAAACTCCAATCGGTGTACGTCTCAATCTTTTCTAATTTAGCTCGAAACCTATTTCAGCCTGATTTTTAGAATATTTTCGAAGTTGATAGCCATTTACTCCAGGTTTAGACGATAGCTAGCTCTACTTCTCTCCAAATGGTTTTTGCCTTTTTGGAGTCTTTAAGGTGGCTCGATACAGTTTTAAAAAATTCAGGTGTTCAACACTTTGACATGTTCAAACTACGCATTTTTAGGATTTATTCAGCAGATATTGTTTTTTTTTATATATTTGATAACTCTACTTTCAAATTATATTAGTTTTAGTAACAGATAGTTCGTTGCTATGACGAAATTCACTCGTGCATTATTTTACTTGGACGAAAAGCTAACAATTAGCAAAATATAAAAAATTCTGTAATGCCATTATTTTGGAAAATGAAATATTCTTCGGTAAAATTGTTTTGGTATTACAGAATTTTTTTATTTTTTGTATAATGAAAGTTTTTAGTAGCCCGCGTGCAGGCCCAAGGGAACTGATAGTGGGCCTGCAAGCAAGGCCCGGTATTTTGTAAAACGCCCCTTTTCATAACACGCCCCATTCGCGCGTCAATTGTCAAAAAAGAACCAATGACAGCACCCAAATATTAACAAACAAACTCGCATTAAAATGTTGCGGGGTTTTCTCTGCTTATTCAGAACATAAACAATGTGTAAATGGCTGCGTTTTAACTCCACAAAAGCAAGCAACGCAGTCAGTAATTGCCAAATTTGCAAGTGCTCATTTTCAACTATAATCGGAAGAGGCAAATTAGGACGAATTTCAACAGAAAACCAGTCTCAGACTTCAAATCGTGAGGGAAGTCGTGCGACCACATTAGCATTTATATTATGTGTGCTTCGCTGTCGCCATTGGCATTGTTATAAATAAATTGTCTCAGTTATCAGATCGTGTGTGCAATTCTTGTTGGCGGCGGAAAGTGCGAAATGTATTTCAGTTATTTCATTTGGTAAAGAACTCTACAAAAGAATTAAGAGAGCGTTCAGAGTCCAGATCGTTTCGTTTCAAACGGCAATTTAATACCGTCTTCTGTTTCGCTCTCTCAGCGAAGCCTTGTAAATCGCAAAGTGTTTCGAATAGGCTTACATGCAACTACATCCCAACATCAACCAAAAATAATTTTCTTGAGGAACATATAACGTATCAAGTCTGTTTGAATTAATGAAACTCAAGTAAAGGGTAATTACTATAGTTTACCCCAGTCGTAATATTGCTATTCCAACACCTCACGACAAGCAATCCCCATTGGCATAACGGCAAAAACATCTCTTCCTTCAAGTAAACAATAAACAGTCTGTTGTTGTTCCATTTATAATCGAAAAAAGTGATCAATTTTCGAATTTTGAGCTTATCGAGAGCCTTTGTGATGAATCACTGACCTAATAATAGAATCCAACAGCAAACAGCCAATCAGAATGCCGCGTTCGTGGGCGAACGCGAAAAGTACAAAATACCGGGCCTAGTGCTTGCAGGCCCACTATCAGTTCCCTTGGGCCTGCACGCGGGCTAAGTTTTTAGCGGTGCAATACAGCATGCAAAATTTGAACATAGGTCACCAGACGAAATAAAGAGATATAGCAGATTGTTTTTCTAAAATAGAAAATTCTAATGACGTCAGCAATTGACATAAAACGCTGTAGAACACGCGCAATGGCGTGATATGGCGCGAGCAACTGCTCACGTCAGGTCATTTTGGAAGTTATTTCATTTTGTTAATCAGTTTCCGCGACCTGCGCGTAAAAATGGTCACCCGGTTTTGACTTCGCGATTCTTGAGCAGGGGGTTTTTTGTGATAACTATATCGAGCCACCTTAAAGCGCATATTTTGACATTCGGATTTGGAGCTAACCCCTTAGCCTATATGGAGGCAGTGTCACTCTAATAAATACCTCAAACCACAAACCTTATGAATTTCATCAGTCAGAGCTTCCACAGCGTCAGGATTGGGGTCAAATACTTTTGGAATCATTTGTAATACGTTTTGTTTCAGAAAATTCACAGCATGTTCCCTCGACTCGTCATCATCACCAGCATTTATCTGAGAAAATATACCAATTATTGCCCCTACAAAAAACACAAATAGAATCTCGAAATTTGGATGGAAACATAGATATCAAACACTTACGATTTACTGACAAAAACAGTTCTCCATCAAAGACACTAACAACACAATATTTGATGCCACGGCCACCGTGGTCAGGCATATTTTTCAAGCTTGCCCGGTGTGGATATACACTCAGACTAACATTACAAGCATCATATTCACCTGAGTACATTACACCAACACAGAAAAAAACCCCCGATTTTTGATATTTTTATACATAGAATACATGAATATTTCATGCACCATCTGGTAGGTGTAAAACATGCGTGTTTTTCGCGTGGGCTTCGCGGGAGCTGAAAATGACTAAAGTTTTCCGATCGAAGTTTTTACTGTCGTTCCAATTGAAGTGTTCCTCAAATATTGATTCAATACATCACCTCGGGCTGACCAATTCTTTTCATCAAGTTCCTCGAGATATTCACACACTTCCTAGTATAACTGTAAAATTCCTGTTGAATAGTTTGAATGCACCAATCACCTTTGTTGTTTGTGCAACTAACCAATCATAAATAGAAAGGAAGTGACCAGAAATGATCAAATACTTGGAATTGGCTCTTTCACAGGAAGTGTATGAATATCTCGAGGAACTTGATGAAAAGAATTGGCCAGCCTGAGTTAATGTATTGCATCAATATTTGAGGAACACTTCAATTGGAACGACAGTAAATCTTTGCACCTAAATGCTCATTTTAATGGTATATGCCCTAACTAAAAGCTGAAAACTAAATGAAAAGGTTAAGATGATCAACTGCAATCCATATTATTCTGTGTTCAGTTCAAATCCCTGATAGATAGTCGAGCAAAACAAACGTTTTCTTGTGTTTCTTCGTGGGAATTTTTCTGAACTTGTTTTTCACTCGTGAAATAACTTTGCTCTTTATGATGAAGTGCTTCTAAAATTTGCTTATTCTGAACTAGACCACATTCTCTAGTTTCTTAGGGCAATGGTAAAGCTGGACTTAAATAGTTGGCCGAAAAATTACGAAATTTCTACATGAAATGACTTTCGTACTGAAAGCAGTGAATTTTCGCGTAGGGGCCTACGACATACCTACAAGACGGGTTTCAATTTCCGCCATCTTTGGCTTCAGAAACACAGCTCGAATTATCAATCCAGCTTTTATAGAGTTCACTGCTCGCGAGTGACTGTTAACTCTCATCTATCTCTTCAACGTTCATCTTGAACTGGTTTATACTATGATGAGATTTTTACCCCGTGCGTGCATGGTATAATATCTAATCAACTCATGCAACCTTTGTTCTCGTTTGACCAGGGCATATCAGAGGCAGTCTGCAACCGTACTATCGCAACATTAGGAAGCTTTAGATACGGCTACGAGATCTAGTACGACTACAAGATTTTCCCGTTAAATTTCTGCTACTTGGGACTTGTTATCGTCTTCTCTTTGGCATAGCACATCTTTAAAACAACACTTGAATCAAACTACGTAGAGTTTTAAGCTTTTTGGTGCAGATATTTAAAGGAAAAATCTCGTAGTCGTATACTAGATTTCGTAGCCGCGTAGTCAAATATAAAACTCCCTAATACCATTATTTGAGATGGCCAAATCTGCATGTTAGCCGTTCCGTTACGTTTCACATTCTCTCTTGTTTATAAAGTTTATATCGGCTTTTTATCACGTATGCGTGACTGGACAGTTGCTGTAGCATAGCATGGCACAGTATAGTAAATTTGCTTGTTAAAGTACACAGTATGATGTTTGTGGTGTTACTCTGAGTGTGTATCCACACCGGGCAAGCTTGAAAAATATGCCTAGCCACGGTGGGAATCGAACCTGAAAATATACTTGTTTACATATTTAACCATGATATTTAACCAAAGCATTCTGAGTATTTTCTCGTGAGCTCACAAATCAAAAAGAAAAAAAATGTATGGTCACACAGTTTTTTTTCTAGAGGGTTGCACCCCAACGGCGGATGAGAAAGCTCTTGCTCTGGTTGCCAACCCTCATCTACTCTCATACTCGTTTGGCCATATCTTGAGACATTCTGAGAGCAAAAAATTCGATCAATGAATAATTCTTAAATTCTTTATTAGCATTTCTCACCTTTAGGATCCAGTTCTATAACCTCTTTCAAAGCATTTTGCACAATGCTTAATTCTAAGGCATTCCCTACAACAAGTATGAACAGAAACCAACATTTTATTTTATTTTATAGACAACTACCGGATACGAGCTATTCTGGAATTTGATTGGCTCTTGAAAGAACAAAGATAAAAACATGAACAGATTATAATTGGAATCTACATATAAAAATTTCGAGTTTTCAGCAATGTTTGAAGTATTATTTAAAGAAACAGCAGTTTATCAGGTTTAGGGCCAGAGCCGGAAAAGTGAAAGAAGAAGGCCCAATTACCCTGAGAGGGGGGGGGGGGGCTGGAATTGTGGACTTTTAACCACGGTACCATGTACCTATTATCTAGTCCAGGAACAGACGTTACTCAATAAATCTGTATGGCTAATGTTGCAAAGAACGACTTTTAAAATTCACAGAGATTTGGTTTCAGACAATGTAATGGTTTTGTAAACATGTTGGCTATCCTTTCAGATACCAAATCATTAGCCGAGAGATTGTCATCACAAACCAAATCAGCGAAAACATGTTTGGTTATGCTTAGGTGCTCAACTAAATTAATTAATAATCTTATAGCAGATCCACCATTGTGATCTGTGTAATAATAATCCCGTAATAAGTTTTACTGAGAATGTCTGAACGCTTTAACAATTTTTTAACCATTAAATATAGTTTTGATGAATGCACGCATGTATTTATAATATAGGTATTTTAATAGTTGTTTTGGTTAGAGTATATTTTATAGTATAAAATAACATTGTTTTGACATAATTTTTAAATTTTTTAAATGTTGATGTAAATATTTTTGTTCCAGCTTCAGCAGCAAAATGGTGTAAATAAACTGATAATAATAATTAAAAAATATACCTGTTGGAAGCAGTTGTGTTAAAACATCAGCTATCTTCGTTAAATGGTCTTTGGTGTCATAGCAAAGACTTGGCAATGCTTTAATAGCCAACCTTCGAATCTAAAAGAAATCAATATATACTTATGTAAGGAGTTGTGACTGCTTTTAGTTATTCAACCAGGTTTTGCCAGGAATTTTGGCTAGCTTCGTTTTTGCATGAAGGATTGAGTTTACCACTATTTTATCTACATAGCAAAAACATGACAGACATCAATGCATAAATGTTGAAAATATATGGCTTATGCAGTATAAACAGTACATATTAATTATTATTATTATATTTTCTACACTTTGTTCAGCAACTGGTCAGCAATAGACCTTATGCATAATGACGTCACAAGGCTTGATGCCCGACAGGAATGCTGGTCTTAGTAGTCATCGTCCGGGAAAACACTATCGAAATTTTCCCGGGTGATGACTGCTAAGACTAGCATTCCTCACAGGCATCAAGCCTTGTGACGTCATTATGCATAAGGTCTATTAAGGCAAATTGCAAACCAGAGATGGATTTTCATATTTTTGTTCGGGGGTGGGGTGGATAAATATCTGGGGGGTGTTGCTGCTTGCTTTGGAAAGGTCAAGGAAAAAGTTTAACAAAATTTGTTTTCTAGGCCTACATGGCAAGACCATAATATTGGTAATTTTACAAATTTAGTAGTAAGAATAATCAAATATGAAACTATCAAATCAAAATATATATAATTTTCGGGGGTGCAAAAACTTTTGGGGGCGGTGCCAAATGCCTGTGAGGGGGGGGGGGTCATTTTGGGTGCACCCCCCCCAGAAAATCTGTGCCTGTTGCAAACAACCTACCATATTCTCCAATTATGCAACTTACAGCATTGCATAATATAATTTACTATTCACTCTAGAAGCCACATTTCCATTGTGCCAAAGCAAACCTTTTAGCGACATCAAAAACGTAATTGCAAATTGATTACTGCATAAAGATATTTTTGCATTATAATTTCTTCATATTACTTACAGCTGAATCTTCATCTTCACACAAATCCAATAAACAATTTAGGGCTTTCAGTTGGTGTTCAGGGAAATATTTGAAGAAACGAGGAATGAAAGTCGCACCCAATTTCTTCTCACCATTGCTCCCAGTTGAACTGTCCAAAATAGTTTGATACTCTTCAGGATACTAAGATATAAAATATTAATGAAGTTTAAAGGGATATGCCCGGGCATTATGGCAATATAAATTAAGTTTCTCTTGTTTGAAAGAACATCCAAAACTACATATAAACTTTGTTTACAATTATTCTGTATCTTGCTTGGTTTTCGAAACAAATTTATATTGATCAAAATTGGTGTGCATTCCGCCATCTTGGATACGCATTCGATATGTCACAAGTAGGGTAAAAAATGAAATCTTTTTCCCCGCAAACCACTTGTCATTATCAATACGAAACTCGATTTTCTGAAGTCTTTTTAGTACTCAATTAACAACATTTTAAGAATCTTTTCGAAGAAATTTAGTCCCACATGAAGAAGTTTTAACAAGTTTACCCTGCTTACAACAACTGTTGACCAATGAGATCACAGAAGAAGTAAATTATTTTGACAATTAGTTCCATATCCTGGTCATACCACAGGCCTTAGGACCAATTCAATTTGACAACAGCAGTATTCTATCTAAATAGCAGTTAAAATAGAGTATACGGCACCTGGCTGCCATATTTATTTACAATAGAACCCAAGCTTTCCCTACTCATGCAAAATATTATGTCACGCCTCTGATGTCACGCCTGTGATTTCCACAGAGGGTAGGATCAGAGTGGGCGTTGTCACTTGCTAACCCAATCAGCAGTTTGGGTCCTTTACCATGTGACATGTTCAAATCATTCTGAGCGTGAGGAATCTTATGACATCATAGCAGCCTCGACAAAATATATTTGTGCCATATAAGGAAGTTAACTGGGGACACATTTGTGCCATATATGGAAGTATCGTTTCTTCTCGCTTTGAACAACAATAAAATATTTTAAATTTCTAATAGCAAATAGAAAATTTTTGATTTCTTGAAGCTCAGATAAGCTATTTCCAGCATTTTGAGGAGTTTTCCAACAAGAAATTAACCTTACACTAGTCCCTGAAAATCAAACCAGCTGATCTTCTGGGACTGGTCAAATCGATCCCTGCAACCATGCTGTTTTGCAACATTTTTTCCCCACCAAATACCGGGGCAGGATATTCCCCCCAGTTTGTTAGTGCAGGTATTTTTTTGTTCAGAATAGCCTTGCAGGAAATTGTTTTCAAAATCACCCGCCTCCCTCAAAAGTTAAATGGCTGGCCCCTTATATTGTGCTCGACAACTTTTTCAGGAAATTGTAGGTTGCTATTTTTTTGGCCTAAAAAACTGCTTTTTCGTGTGGCAATTTGTCATTTGTAGACTGTTAATTGGCACCATGAATTCTGCATCTTCCAATGGAAGGAATACAATTTCCAGCCATGTAATTACCACACAGAGATTAGTTCTCCAATAACAGGGTTCCCAGACATTCGAAATACACAGTATGAACAATAACAGGCTTGTAGACAGACAAACAAACAAACAAACAAACAAACAGACAGACGCCAGTATGGAATGTAACTTTTTCGTGCACCGGACAAGGAAGTTGATCATTTTTTGTGTGCACGGATTGGTTGTCCAGCCGGTCGAAAATTTGTGCACCACCAAATTTTTCACTTCAAATCTCGAGTGCTCCAATTCTCGTGCCGATTGCCAAAGGTGTGAGAGGAGCTCTGAAGGCACGAGATACCTGGAGGGGAGTACAAGAGCATGCACTCCCGAGAAATTTTTAAATTTAAAGTCTCTGAAATGCCATTTCCTGGACTTTGACGGAAGATTTTACACAATTCTGATGGTCAGAAAACAACATTATAAAATCTAAATTTACATTTTTCTCGGAAAGTCAATTTTTCTCGGAAAGCCTTCAAAATATTATTCAACTCAAAGTTGCAAGTGGTCAGCAGTATTTCAGAGTACTTCATTTAGTTTACGTTATATTGGATCCTGGATCCATAGATCAAAAGGGAATATATTGTCCAAAGCGGCAAAGCCTACCGTACTCAGATCTACACATTCCAGATACTTTCAAGAAATAGGTTTTACTAACTTTTGCTGTTAAATCTATTTGACGAATTAATATTGGGAATCTTGAATTATGCACCAGTGCACCACCCTTATTTAACTTGTTATGTGTGCACCAGATGTGCACCACAGATTACTATTGTAAAATCTTGTGCACCAGATTGTGCACCAATGAAGGGCGTTGTGCACCAGACATGTCCGGTGCACAACACTTACATTCCATACTGGGACAGACGTGAAGATCAACAAACAAGCACAACAAATTACAATCAATGACTTAAAATTTATGTGACAGTAAATTTAACAAGGCCAAAAAAAATATGTGGGTTTCCGGTTTCTTCTTATAAAAACATAGGTAGGGTAGGTCGGTTTTAACTTTTTTTTTAATTTTCCGAACGAGCGGATGCCATTTTGTTTAGTCAGTGCTTCCACATCCAGAGATAAATTTCCCTAATATTGCCTCAAATTTCAATTTTCCACAAACTTTTTCCTCTAAGTGGAAACACTTACAAGCATGATCCAACAAAAAAGTTTAGAGTCGGGATTTCGACATCCAAAAGCTAGTCGGGAAACCCACATATTTTTTTTTTTGGCCCAACATGCTCGATTCGACAAGTTAGTCAATGGGTGAGTTGTGTGACACTTCACACAAACAGACTTAAGTGTTCTCGGAACCTCAGGATTAGATTTAATAAATAATAATTAATAATAATTATTATATTAAATTGGATGTAGTCTTTGCATACGAAGTTTGCATTTTGTAATTATGTAATTTTGAATTGTCAACTGTTTGGTGAAAATAAATGATTCAACTCTCAAAATTGTCAAAATTTTTTTCACGCCAAAATTTTGATGCGAACATATTGTCATTAATAACATATTAAAATACGCTGGCATACAGAATTGCTACACATAATTAATCGCTTCGTCGAGGAATTTGCATCGAATACATGCAAATGCTGCACTACACGCAAACACCAACTACACACAAACTACACACAAACACCAACTGCACACAAATAATGTGTACACAAAGAACTATGTGGTTGAACAATTTTGCATGCATGCATGTACATGAAGACTTCATGCAACTTATTCCACAAAGGGTTGTTACATTACTTCAGGACAGCACTGTATATAAATATCAAGATTTTGGGCATATCATATATAATTGTTATGTGAATATTTTCATTCGCATCTGATCTACATTTATCTCAAATTCTCTGTCCAAAATCTTGATATGTCCCCAAAAAGAAAACACTAGCATCACTTAAATTACTACATATACTGTAGAAGAACTTAGGGTTAATGCTTGGAAACTGGACTTTGTAGCTCAGTGGTCAGAGGCTCAGAGCGCTGCAATAATATGCAAAATTTGGTTGTCAAAATTTTGCCATATTTCATACGTCTAGTTAAGGTCTGTTGGAGTGGTGTCTAATCATACCTCGCTCGCTTTGTCTTTCGCATCTGCTAGCACGCCAAAACTTTTATAAAGATGTTCAACACCGTCCATTCTTGTTCGAAATCACAAAAAACCTTGCCCCGGCTTGTTCTCACATCAAAACATAAACATTCTTTTCTACCTCAAACGGTTTTATTGCCATGTGCTCTTCGCGCAGTCTCGAATCCAAATCTTCGTGCACATTCAAGCGGTCTTACATGAAGTTTACCGAACGCGGAAAACGAGCGCGCGGAGAGTGGTGGGAACAAAACACCATTGAACTCTATGTATATATCTGGAGCATGCGAAAAAAAAACCTCCTTCGCCTCGCCCGTTTTTAGGTGTTCCGCGGCGGGCTGATCGTCTGCAGGTCCTTTTCGTGATCATGTCCGCCGTTTGAACGGCTGTCGAGCAGAAAAAACTGAAACGCCGGCATTCAAACTTTTCAAACATTTATATAAATGGAAATCACTCAACTTGCTCGAGTTTTGGCATGTACGCTGGATCCAAATTTAAGAGTAGAGGCGGAGAAACAATTAAATGAGGTTCGATTATTTTGAATTGTTGAAAAATATGTGCAGTAATACATGTAAAAACCACGTGTGTTTGAAGTCTAATATTTATATACATTATACACAGTCACAGAAATATAGTGTACTTGTCTATTTTTTACTCTAACTCGTTTAACGTATCGTATTTAGGTCTACAAGACGCCAAGGTTTGTTTCACAGTTGCTACAAGTTGTGATGTCTGGAGAGGTTCAACAACCTATTCGTCAGGCTGGTACGTATATTAGTATATGGGCATATTGTTGAAGGTTTTCTTTCCGAAGATGGAAATTTCTAGTGTGTAAAATAATATACATCTTTAGGGGCCGTCGACAAATAGATTTCGTCCGGCGATCGCGGACTTGTACCGCAATGGTCTGGACCCTCTCCCCCTCCCGCAATCGCGAACCTGTTGATTTTTGCCCCCCACACACAAGAATATAAAGAGGAAGTATAGTGTTAAGATGACGACTGTCGACAAGGGGAAAGTGCTACATAATTATGATTGGAAAAAATTGAAAATAAAATATTTCCCGCCATTTTAATATAAATATTGTATAAATTTTCAAAAATGCAACACATACCTGAGATAAGTCATTCAAAACAGCAACTTACAACATGGATGACGGACATATATTACACAAACCATAACAATCTGATGTCATGTTTTTTTTTACTACGATCAAAATATAATCCAGCGGCATTATTATAAAACTCGGAGGCCTTCGGAGTTTGGACTTCAAACGGAACACGAACCTTGGTCAAACTTTAAATATTGTTGAGTTTACACTACAAAGGCAGTATAATACCTTGCTTATAATTTCTCCAACTGGTATCAAGTTAATAACATTGTGTGATGTCTTCTGTAAAAACTCTTAAGTCAGATTTCCTCCCAATTTCCATTTAAATCACAGATTTAAGGCTACCCCCCTCCACCTCATCACGATACAAGTCCACGATTGCGGGATGAAAACTATTTGTCGACAGCCCCTGAGACGTAACCAGGAGCAGTTGTGAAAAATGCAACTCACTGGTAGGAATGAACCTGCAACAATTCCAGTGCAGCTCTCTATAAACCTGGTTATAACTGTAGTTACTTTTAAAGTTAATGACTATAATTACCAGCGCTTGCAGCTAAGGATCAATGGTCGCAGATAAAACATTGTCTATTCTCATGACAAAGTTCAATGTTTGTGATGACATTTGATGGTTTCAATTCGCTCAGCCAATCAGCTTGGAGCTGGTTGAACGTGATCGGCTGATCAGATTAAAACCTGTCAAGTGTTCTTGACAAACATTGAACTTTCTCGTAAAAACATTGAACTTTGTCACACGAATAGGCAATGTTCTTATGAGCGAGTTGCAAGCGACAGTAGAATTAACTACTGTAGTTAATACCTTAACTGTAATTAGTTAATTAATTAATGAACTACATGACTTGCATTGCACAAAATATGGTCAGATAGTTGACTAACTACGTCGTTAACTGCGTGTGGGGCTTGCATGGGTGCTAATTAACCCATTAAGTTGCATTGCGTGCCAATGTGCCCTACTTTATTATTTTACTCTGTCTAACACCAAACAATTTTACTTGTCAAGGGAGAGTGTTGGTGCTCAATGAAAATGCAACTTGCATGTGGGTTGTGAGCCATTTTTTTGTCCTTCCCACATTATGACATCATACTGTGTATCTCTAACTGAACAGACAACGGCAAAATCTTATCTATTTGTTAAATTGTGCATTGGAGTGCAATGCAACTCAATGGGTATATATAAATTAAGTTACACAACCACGGATGATGCACCTTACTTTGCTATCTTATGGTGTGAAACTTGTAAATTAAAATGGCCCAACGAAAATGAAAATGAAAAACAGTAAAAGTAATAAATGTTTACGTGTAAAATAATTTTTTTTAATGTTTTGTTTTTAAAATTTCTTTCGCTTTTACCATTTATTCATTTTACCATTTATTCATTTTACCATTTATTCATTTTACAAGATTCAGCCAGCCCTCTTGAAATTGTGACCTTCCCATGATGCAACGAGGCCCTGTGGATGAGGCAGATCTTGCTTAAACTCGCTATTAAAAAATACACTGTGCACCCACATTGACTCAAAATTTGGCGTAAAATTACTCAAATGTATGAGTAAATGTACTGAGTCCCATCTTTTTGAGTAACTTTAATCTTCTCTCAAAAATGGTGTAAATTTGAAACTTTCAAAAATTCAAGTAAATTTACACATATATATTTGAGTGATTTTACTCAAAATTTTGAGACACTGTATGTGGGTTCATTATTTTACTCAAATTTTTTAGTCGAAATCAAGGCCGCACAGAGAAATTGTTATGTGCTCTTTTACAGATATTTTACTTTATCCTTATTTTTTTCAAAATACTCAGTGACATTTTGCAGTGTATAAATGGAACATTTGGACGTTTTAGGTGGTATCTACCTAAAGAATATGATAACCCAGTGTTGGCGAAATAGAGATGCTACAAACAGTGTTGATGGTGAGATGCCGTTTGTTATTTCCGATGAAGATAAAAGCCTAATACGAAATCACATAATAGAAGCCATCATTCATTCACCAGAACTAATAAGGTATAAATTTGTATTTTCGTCAGATGGTTACAGCTTTTCAATTAAAGTTGTCCACGAGCAAAGCTGAAAAGTCGAATACGAGCAGCTTTTCGCACTTGTATTCGACTTTTCCGCTTTGCTCGTGGACAACCTTAATTGAAATAGATGTATACAGGGTGTACCAGAAAACCTGCAAGCACTATAATAATAAATAAATTTGCATAATTCTGCTGCTTACTAGCATTTCAATGTCTGTGCTACTTATTTTGCTCCTGGGATTTGAAAATACATTCTAATTCACCGCGTTGATAGAAATTAGAAATTAGAATAACACAAAGTTATTTGTAATGCAGAAAACTAATTATCAGTTTGACTGCGAATGGGTCAACTATTGTGTTTATGCACGCTTGGGATCAATTACTTCCGAATCATGCAAATTCTAAAAACATTGTATTTCAAAGGTTTGCAGGTTTTTTGATACACCCTGTATATAAAGAACCTTAATAGCAGTACTCAATCAGTAGCACTCATTTTTGTTCTGTGATTTAATATGATTATTATTATAAGTGTCACAGCGGATTTGGACTCCCCGTGGATAAGGACCCCCCGGTCCATATCTGCTAGCGGATTCGGATCCCCACTGTACATCAGGCCTCGAATTTCCCTGAAATCAATCGACGGCAATGGTGCTAAAAATTGCCGTAGAACGTAACAGCTGTCTACGGCAATTTTGGCAGTTTCCACAGCATTTTTCAAATTACTGTAAAAAACTTTAATTTTATTGTTACTTTGGTTTTTGACAAGCTAGAAAAATGTCTACGTATTTCTTCAGTGTTTTTTTTTGAAAAGAAAACTGAGACTAAAACGCATTATTTGATCAACATCTGAATTCAAGTATCAAAAATTCAAAATAGTAATGCACAGTGAATAGTATAAAAATTGCATCCACGGCATGATCCACAGCATTTTGTTCTCCCTCTACAGCAATTGCCGCGATAAAATTCGAGCCCTGCTGTACATATCCGCTAGCTGATATGTACCCCCTTCCGCGGAATTGGACCCCCCAAAATTCACAGAAAGAAGAAATTTTTCGATTTAAGAATTAATTATACGAGTAGTTGTGGACTATCTATGATGAACTGAATTATAGATAATATATGTATTCTCAAGATCAAAATAACCAGCTTTGCCTAAAAATCTAACAATATTAATAAAGTAATCCCAAACTGAGATCAAACATTTACTCAAGGTTTGCACAATATTTATTACTTAATAACAATATAATAACAAATTTATTAACAATAGCATGCGATTAGTATGAAAGTCTCAACGTTCATTTGAAATTTCAAGCGTTTTGTGCTGGGTGATGGAAGTTCACATCCTCGGCAGAGCCACTCGCCTTCAGGTTCGTTCTCTACATGTTCACAAATCATGTGAAACCAGTTGTCACACAATTCACATTGCAGTGTGGATTATAACGTTTTTGCTTAGGTCTGACAAATGTCCGATCAACGAGACCGTTGCTCGGACATTGGCAAAGAATGGTCAGCCAACTATTTCAACCACTTTTACGTGACAGGGATACAGATCGACGTACCATTGCACGTGTGCAATGTGCATGCAGAAAAAAGCTTGGCGTACGCCAACTAACAACGTCCTCCCCGCCTTCACTTTGTTTGTGTTTCTTTAGGAAATAAAATTTAAGGTATTTACTAATGTAGCTACGCCTACGGGTTATAGAAATGAAACATAGTTTTGTAAGTAGTAAGTATTGTAAACGCCATGGACTAACTATTGAGATTTGGTCACTTGAGAGAGTATTTGCTAAAAGAGAAGCTCAATGACGATGTTTCCTCTGAATGATTTTTTCATCCAAATATTTATCGATTGCATGGTATAGTAGGTATAGCTAGATGCTTTTCAAACAGTACTTTTCACATAAACTAACTTCAATTTAAATGAACAGTGTGTATTTTATTTGATCGGACATAATGTCCATGCAGAATGAAATTGATCGGCCATTCGGTGTTTTTGTTCGGCAAATAGCCGATCGCCGACCGTTATAATCTACACTGTCACATTGGATCATGTCGGCATTCAGGCTTCAGGCAGTGACAAAATACCTCGATTTCACAATGGTTATATTTCACAGTGGTTATACTGTCTCTCGAATGGTACAGAGTTCTTGGGGTTCACACGAGGAAATGGTTCGAAAGATCCTTTCTGTAGACTGGTGAGGAGATGTTGACGCATTTTGCTTTGGTCGTAGGTAACATGCGATGGGTTGGTGTTACCAGCTGCAAGTTCAAAAGAGAAAGCGATTGCAACTCGGCCCCGTTGGATTTGCCTTGGAGGAAGCTCAACTTCGAGTAGATTGTTCTTTACAAGCGTGTGATAATATTGTGAGAGCTGTACTTTCATGGACGACGTCAGCTGTTTACAGCGCATGCTGTCATACAGTCGAACAAAACCATAGATGTTGAACACACCCAATGATCATGACCAGTATGATGTATTTGAATACACTCTTCGTTAACTGGTACAAAAGACGTTTGGCTCAAAATCGTATCTTGCCAGCCACTAATGTTGTTGAATTGCTCACGGAGAATTCTTTGTGCTCTGTTGATTACATTATCATCAAGTTTAGCGTTACTGAGGATCAGATTGAAATCGCGCTTGTCTGCTTTCGTCAATTCCATTTGCGATGGTTGCTTGCCCAGTGGTTCGTGTTTAGCCTTGCACTATTGACGGATTTCTTGAGCTCAGTGCCCCCTTTGTTCGAAAGTTTGTATACACCTTTCGACATGACATTGTTGACTGTGTACGGACCAGACCGTACTGGTTCCAAGTGTACCGCCCTTTCTATCTTTGTTTTTCATATTCTTCAATAGGACAACATCTCCTACCTATGATATTTTTTCTTGTGTTGGTGCAATGTACTCGGGTGAATAAGATCCTTGTGATGTTTCTCTGAGTGTATATCCACACCGGGCGAGCTTGAAAAATATGCCTGACCACGGTGGGAATCGAACCTACGACCTTTGGAATACTAGCCCAATGCTCTGCCAACTGAGCTACGCGGTCTGGTCGGTTCGAGTATGTGATATTTCGGAACTGAGTCTAGTTCCTTCGATATCAATTTAATCTACTAATATGATATTTTCTCTTGTGTTGGTGCAATGTACTCAGGTGAATAAGATGCTTGTGATGTTACTCTGTGTGTATTATAATACACTCATGCAGAGAAACATCACAAATCTCCTACCTAATTAGATACAAATTTAATAAGTTGTAAATAAGTTTAGAGCTATTCTTAAGGAAAAGCCGTCCGTTAATAGACCCTTTCGACAATTACGTCACCTATCTCATCTTTGAGCCTCATTCTCATGTTTCAAGTGATTGGCTCACAATTTGCCAAAACAAGATATATGACGTAATTATCGAAAGGGTCTATTGCATTGAACTATAAGTAAACTGGAACGGTAAGTTGGCCGCCATCTTTGAAGCCGGTTATGAGTATTTTCTGCAGGTAGCCCCAGTCCTTTTTTACAAAATGGATGCGAAAAATACAGCTTAAAAATCGTTAATATTTTCTCACTTTTACTTCTTTCAAGGCATTTATATTTATCTCAGAACACACTTAGACAACACAACTTTTATCTAAGGCACATAAAATAAGCAAATATTGTTTAACTGCCGAAATATGACACGAACAAAACGAAACTCGGCAAAAAACCGCGCGAAAATTTATGGTTTTTCTGAGTTTTTAGACTTTCCAGAAAGAGTCCAGAGACAAAGTTATACAATTTATGTAGAAAAATCTTAGATACGGTTGTTAATGGAGTTCAAACATCCAGAAACGTACTTTAAATAAGTTAAAATTAAGGATTAAATTAGTAAAAATACATCGTGAAAATTTTTGTGCATTTATTTTCGTATACATACCTGCGAACAGGCTGTATTTGAGTGCCCGGAATTTGGCTTCGCCCAAACATAGGCCTTTATCATAGGAGTTATCGTTCCATTTTACTTATAGTTCAATGGTCTATTGTAGAATAGTTGGTTAACTGTTAGAGTTGCTGCAGTAAAATAATAATACCTTGAATGGTTGTGGCTGGTGTTTTGCATCATATGCTTCTGTCTTTCTTGTGCTTTTTCAACATTCTTCATGGCTTGGGCTTTTATTTGATTCCGAATAGCAATCATGGAGTTAACTTTCTCCTCCATGCATATCTTCGGCAGCGTCTGTCACTGGATTAAGTTGTGGAGCTTCGCTTTCTGGCTTTGATTTGATCTTAATTTCAATAGGCAGAACAGGCGCACGACCAAACATTAGCTCAAATGGTGTGAATTTGGTAGAATCGTTCTTACTTGTTCTATAGGCAAATAAAACAGCTTTCAAGTGAACATCTCAGTCGTTTTGATTGTCGTTGACAAATTTCTCCAAGGTTGACTTCAGCGTCTGGTTCATTCTTTCATCGAGACCATTTGTTTGCGGGTGGTAAGCAGATGAAATTCTGTGGTCCATTCCACATAACTCAAAGAGCTTCTGGTTTACTTTGTTCACTAACTCTCGACCTTGGTCCGACATAACTATTTCTGCAACACCGTACCTCGTGATGAGGTCATACAAAAATTCCGCTACACCTGCAAAACAGACAATACCCCCAAAAACTTGTTACAGGTCAGATTTAAACAGTAATATCCCTGTTCCTGGTACATATGACTTGTTAGTCAAGATTTTGTGATTTGTGAAGATACTTACCTTCAGCAGATTTACTTGGCATGCAGGGGAGCAGCTTCTGGCATGTTACCATGTATTTGTTGCCACGAGGTGTTTCTGGCAAAGGACCGACCAAATCAATACCAATTCGATGCCAAACCATGTCTTTCACTTTGATGGGATGCAGTTGTGAAGAAGGTTTGTGAAACTTTTTCGAGTTGCTTTGGCAAATATCGCAGTGCTTTACTGTTTCATCGCAATCTTCAGTGACTCTAAGCCAGTAATACGGGGATGCAACCTAAAGATAAAGACAAAAGAAAAAACATTTAATCTTACAACCACATTATCGATTAAACTTGAATTGAGTCTGTACTGTATACAAATCTTATCTCTCGTCTTATCACGCCCAAAATGCCCTGCCAGTTTATCGGCGTGACA